CACAGAGGAGACCAGTATATGAAACTGCACAGGGAAAGAGCATACTAATATACACACATATTTTTTAATATTAATACCTTTGTTATACATGTGTAAATTATTATTAAATGCTTTTGCTGGAAATATGACTTCAGTTCTTAGTTATTTACAAGAAAAATTACCTGTTCATTTTGCAGTAAAGCTTGTAATATTAAATAAATAAATATATATTTATATATATATATAAAATTAGATAGATTATATATATATATATATACACACATATATATATATATATATATATATATATATTTATCTATTAAATTGCCATTCCAGAAAGCTTGTGTGAGGGAGCCAAACTGAGCCTACCCTTACCAACCTTATCTTGGCCAGTTGAGTAGGTGGTGGAGAGAGAGTGAGAGAGAATGAAAGATATTGAGAGAGCTGTGCTTCATCATATTTACTTAAAATGAAGTTGAACACTGGCCTCTTCTGGAGGATCATTACTCAAATTTTTGATTCTGGCAATTTTTAAGACTGGTTTTATTGTGCTTTTGTTATCAGCTTTTACGAGCTCTTTGTACATTAAAAGTATCAAATCTTTGCCATATTTATTACAACTCATAATTTTCTTTTAGTTTTAGATTTCACCTTTCTGATTGTACTACTTATCATAATTTACATAAGCATTTTATACTTCAAGTTCTAAAGAAAAAGAACTAGAATTTTTTAAATCTAGTATATCCCAAGTACTTTAAAACAGTAACTATATTCACACTGGTCAGAAAGGCCATCATTAAAAAGTCCACAAACGATAAATGCTGGAGAGGGTGTGGAGAAAAGGGAACCCTCCTACACTATTGGTAGGAATGTAATTTGGTGCAGCCATTATGGAAAACAGTATGGAGATTCCTTAGAAAAACTGAAAACAGACTTACCCTATGATCGCACAACTCCACTCCTGGGCATATATCTAGAGGGAATTCTAATTCAAAAATATGCATGCACCCCAATGTTCATAGCAGCACTAATTACAATAGCCAAGACATAGAAGCAACCTGAACGTCCACTGACAGATGATTGGATAAAGAAGTAGTGGTATACAGATATACAATGGCATACTACTCAGCCATAAAAAGAATGAAATAATGCCATTTGCAGCAACATGGGTGGACTAGAGATTATCATACTAAGCGAAATAAGTTAGAAAGACAAATATTATATGATATCACTTATATGTGGAATCTAGAAAAATGACACAAATGAACTTATTTACAGAGACAAATTCACAGACATGGAAAACAAACTTATGCTTACCAGGGGAGAAAGAGGGATAAATTGGAAGTTTGGGATTTGTAGATATTAATTACTATAATAGGTAAACAACAAGGTCCTACTGTCTAGCACAGGGAACTATATTCAATACCTTGTGATGGCTTATAATGAAAAAGAATACGAAAATGAATAATATATATATATATATATATATATATATATATATATATATAATCACTATGCTGTACACCAGAAATTAATACAACATTGTAAATCAACTATACTTCAATAACTGCCCCCCCAAAATCCAGTAACTACAAACATTCATTATTCAATAAATACTGCTAAATAAATTAAAAGAGGAACATTTTCCAGTTTCAGGACTCTGATTGTATTAATAGAAATCCTATAGTAACCTAAGGTGAGATAAAAGAAAGGAATCAAAATAGGAAAAATACAGATTCAGCTTTTGTTATGTAGAATGATGTGGCTTACTTTTTTCCTTTTCAATTGTAAGAACAATTTGTACTTGTTATATAAATTAGTAGAAATTCAAAAGAATAACTGAAAAAGACTGAATAGTTTCAACAAACATTATTTTTAAAATTCACTATGGATGTATTTTGCATTTCATTTACATTTTTATGTGCCTGTGAACATACTGAATGTGTAAATGATTGTCCTTCTTAAAATTAAGCATACAGAACACTGATTTGGGGATTGATGTGAGTGACCTTCTTAATATGTGCCAAAAATGATCGTTTCATCTGACTATATTTTGCTTACAAATTTGTATTGGCAAGTCCTTCCCCAAGCTCTGTAACCTCTCAATTCTTAGTACCAGCATTCATTTATTTTAGACGGTGGTTTTAAAAGGTAAACTGAGCCATGTTAAAATTTTAGGAGTTTATTTGAGCAAAAACTAATTCAAATCAGGGAGTGCCAAATGGGAAGTAGTTAGAAGCGCTCCATTGACAGGAACTTGGGGGAGAGATTTTCATAGAGAAAACACGGAGGCATCATCAATTGGCTACAGCTTGAAGAGCAGTTTTTCCTTAGGTTTTTTTTTCCACCTCGAGGCGTTTAAAAGGCCTTTAAAAGTTTGCTTTGCTTACGATGGGCACCATGGCATTAGAACCACGTCAGTCTAGTGACCTCCGTGCTTAATTAATGTCACATTTTTCTAAAAATATATATATATTCAACTGATAGCAATTGTAATTTTAGTACTAATTGATTAGGAAATTTGATAATGCCAAAAGAATTTGAGTATATACATCAGCAAGTCAACATGCGTGCCAGCACACACTTGAAAAATTATTATGGCACGTGGATTTCCAGACCCCTTCCAATACCTCTTAATCTAAGTTCATTCTTTCACTCAAACCCACTTCTCTGGCTCACACCTTATGAATCACTGCTCGAAGAGGATAAATCTATCAGTCATCCCCCCAGACTTATAATCCTATGAAAATGAACAAACATCACTTAAAAAATTGTTGGTTTGTCTGCTGTTTTTCCTCAAAGCATAACTTCCTCATCCCCAAAGCAGACATTTTAAAGGTTACTTCCTACTTGTCCATCTTTCAAGATAAAAAATGGCTTTAGTCTACTGCAAAGCCCAATGATAATTTGGAAAATTACGGGCTGCCTTCCTCACCCCAAACCTATGTAGGATACTCTGACGTATGTCACTATGAAGAGGAAAGTTGGCATTTTTAAAAGACAACAGAAGAGCATTTTGTTTTTTCCATCAAGGAGACATTTTAATATCTTAAGTGCTCATTTGCAATCCCATAAAAGGTTTTCTTTCTCTTTAAATGTCAAGGTGATGTTTTCGTGATACATGTAAAATTAAATTCATAGCTCATTCTGTTTACACCTAAAGTGACATTAGCAGGTGGGAGACAAACAATTATAAGTAGGCATTCCTAAGGCTAAAGCTAAGACACCTTTACCTTTAGAACTTAAATTCTTATCTAAGTGGTAATAATTCAAAAAAATTTTCAGCTCTAAATATGTTTAAGATACAAAACACATACTAAAGCACTAAGAAGGCAAAAACAGTCACACACTCACAGCAAATTTAATTGCATATCCAGCAGAGAAGCAGCTATTTTTAAGCATGACTATCATTACTCAAATCATCAAATTTATTTTAGCGACTAAAATTACACCAGCGATAATAGGTCTTATATTTTATCATTCACCACCTATCCAAATTACAGTATTATCAGAGTTATTTTGTTCACAACAACCCTAGGAAGTATGTAGATTAAGTATTATTGTCCTCATGAAAACTCCAAGACAGAGAGAATGACAGGAACCAGCTGTAAATCACACAGATAATTAATACTAAAGATAGGACTAGAATCAAAATGACTTCATTCTCTGCCAAGATTTTACTCAACTAGAGTACCTCTATTGACAATAATGTAAAGTGCTTTATAGTATTTCATATTTATAAAGCAAGTAGTTAATGTTCTATGTAAAATAGGTGAAAAAAATAAATTGTGAACACTGTTGCCAGGAAAATATTTTATATCAATATTGATATAAATGATAATATTATGCTGGGCGGGGGTTGCATTCCCCATGGCTCCAGGCAGATTTGCTTTCACTGTTTCAGTCTCAGGTCACTGGCCCGAGATGATTGCCCCAATGAGATCTGAATCACCTACAGGGCCATTCTCTTCTTTTCTTGAAGAATAGCACAAGTTCACAGCTAAAAAACTTTGTCATCCTGTTCCAGAAAATCAAAAAATTCCAACAGCCTTCCTTCACTCTGTCCCACTTTTTCTGTTCTCTTTAATCCCAGCTGGCAGCATGTCTGCTGGTATAATCCCATCTCGATTCCTGGCTTCTATCTGATGGCTGATTAGGTCCAAGGTTTACAGCCACTCTAATCTCCTCATCAAAATGGTCAGTCAGCTACACCCTCAGTGTCCTCTTCAGAACACGGTTTCTCATTTTTTTTGCAATGTAGACAGGCTGAAAATTTTTCAAATCTTTAAGTGCTAGTTTTCTCTTTGCTCATTGCTTAACAATTTCTTCTTCAATTTATTTCTCTTTTCTTACATTTTACTATCAGCACTCAGTGATCCTTCGACACTTTGTTTAGAAATCTCCTCAGCTAAATATCCAATTTTATCACTCACAGGTTCTATTTTCCACAAAACACTAGAATATAGACACAATGCAGCCAGGTTCTTTGCCACTTTGCAATAGGAATCGCCTTTTGCTCCATTGTGCAACAACATGTTCCTCATTTCCATCTGAGATCTCATCAGAATGGCCTTTACCACCTATATTTCTATCAACATTCTGCACATGGTTACTTCTGTATTCTCTAGGAAGATAGAAGATGAATTCTCCTTTCGTTTCTGAGTTCTCACCAGGATTACTTTTTACAGTCCATAGACTTTTTCTAACATGCACCTCAAAACTCTTCCAGCCTCTAATCATTACACAGTTCCAAAACCATTTCTACATTTTTAGGCTTTTCTCACAGTGGTACCCCTCCTCTTCTTAGTACCAAAAATCCATCTTAGTTCAGGCTGCTATAACATTACTACCACAGACTAGGTGGCTTAAACAATAAAAATTTCTTATATGGATATTGATATAAGTGATAACTATCATGTTAATACTGATATAAATGAGAATATTGCTGCCTGTGAGACTGCATATATCAAATTATAAAATTAAGCATTTGGTGGTTAAAACAAATTGTTTCAAAATCATATATGCTTTGGCAGCACATACAGTAAAATTGAAATGACCCAGAGAGGATTAGCTGGGCCCTTGTAAAGGATGATACACAAATTCATGAAGTATTCTATGTGTATTTTGTGAAGCTTGTGCTCTTGGAAGTTACGTTTCATGATATATCTGAAAGCAATTCTGCAAGACATTCCATGGTAGATAATTACCTTTAAGGAAGTAGGTTAGCAATTTTTTAAATTAGCAAATTTTATATTTTAAAGTAATTTTTAAATTTAAAATTTTAGGTGCTAAAAGTGATCCATTTTATTTTATGAATTAATACTACATTCCCCCATATTTTACTTTTTTCTTATGAAATAGACTTAGAACTACATAATATTCATATTTCAATATGTTATCACAATTTAGTATAGCGATACTGTTTGTGACCCACAAACCCATTTGTCCTCTGCTAGACATTTACAAAGGGAATAAAAAATAATTTAGACATAAAAAAGATATTAATATTGCAGAAGCACCATACATTTTACATGTAAAGTAGAGTAATCAATAGTATGAAACAATAAAGTGCTTTGATCAAAACAATTAATCTTATTCTTTATCTGTCACTTACTTCATCTGCTTTTTCTATAATTTCATATTTATTGGTGCAAAGTTTAAAGTACTATTTTATAGTTAATTTTTAAGTTTGTTTTACCTCTAACATTATTTGTGCTCAAGAATTCCTTTTGAGGAAACATCACTGAAAAGGTGTTAAGATGAAAGAAAAGGTGAGAACAAAGGTGATTTTAGGGATATCAGAAGAATGTACAGTACATTGGAATGTCAGTTTGGATAAATATGTGTAGCATAATAATTAGACAGTATGTAAAACAATGTATCTAAAGTTCAGACCTTGCATATTAAACATGCAACTTGATTTACATAAAAGCAATTGTGACCTGTCCTGATGCAATGGAAAAGAACTGGGTTATAAGATTAAAAAAAAAAAAAAGAAACAAATTAATGAAGTAGAAATTCATGAGTTAAACAAATGTACATTCTTTTTTGAAATTGAATATTCTAACAAGAAACAAAAAAGCAACTTTTGGGAACAAGTAGCGAATTGTGATTAATATTGAAGTGATCTGTGATTAAAGGACATGTTGAAAGGCACACACACTAAGAATTGGTACATTATTTTATTGACAATATAATCTGCTGTAGAAAAGTCACAATTCTATCTGTTTATAATTATATACTTTTTAAAGTGTCATCTGTGACATCTGAAAATGTTTTTATCAAGGATTTGTATCTGATTTGATCAGTACCAAAAATAATCTTAGCATTCATGTCATGAAGTGTTGAAAACACTTTAGTAAAATGATCATTTCATAATAATTTAGGAAAATGGAGTCATTCAAACAATATATACCTCAAAATTTTACATAAGAATACAAATTTTCAATGTTTTTAAATTGATTCAGTGAAAAATAATACAGAGCTCTATTATACTAGAAACTGTTCATTCAAAAGCATTTCTGTGTTTTTTTCCAGTATTACCATTTATTTTGTCCAAATAAAAATGTTTGCAATTTATTTAACTGGTAGTATCTGAGAAGTAAATTTCTTTCATGTTAGATAAGTTTATTTAGATGCCTACTCTTAAAATAGTACTAAACTATCTTTTTGGACAATTCTCCTTTGGGCCACATTTTTCTTTTCACCGTATAATGTCCTATATCATCTTGGTTACAGCTGATTAATCCAGAGGAAAGTGTACTCAGGGGCAACAAACATACAGCCCGGTCAGGTGTTTTTGAAAGAAAAGGTAAATTACTCTCACTGAAATTTAAATTAACAGAATCAGAGAGAATAAGTTGTATCATTTTACAAGCTGTGTGGTCTAAGGAAGATTTAGAATTAAAAAAATGCACAACAATGCTGTGTATTGTTCATACACAAAAAATGCTGAAGTCAAAGTTAGCGGAAAAGGAATTATTCTTAGGCAGAAGACAGTTATTGGTAGAGAGAGGTAAAAGGGAGAAAACGTGCCTCAGTGCAGCACAGCCCTATTGGTTTGGAATGACTTCCGCATCTATTCTGCAAGGCTCTCCATGGCAACATTCTTTCCCGGACTGGGCACATCTTCCTTAACAAAATAGCGCTGTGCCAGATCTAAAGCACTCAGAGGGTAACTTGCGAAATCAACCACACAGGGGAGAAAATTCTCTCGTTCCAACAAAAACTCTCTGAAGAATTCCTCGAAGAACTCCATTTATCTACAGATCAGCAAATTGGGCCCCCAAACCTATTTCATATGATAAGTACACACAAATAATCAATTATTGCCTACTTCTTAGGTTAAGAATCCTTACAGTTAGTGGAATTATCTTCATCATCTCCAACAAGACAACCCAATTTTTCACAGCTGAAGCCTCTAAAGACTGTTGGTTTTAATGTACACTGAGGAAAAACAGGTATGAATCTGCACTTGTGTATTAAAATAAAAACAACACCTTAAGGAGGCAAATTATAAAGATAACTGACAGATACAAAAGGACAAACCTGAATATTGATTGCTCTAAGCATCAGAAGATCCACTTTAAATTCTGTTCAGGGTTCTCTCTCCCCTCGTCCCCCTCAGGTTTTGAATATTAGAAATTGGAACTAGAAACCTCATTGTCACATTTTTGCATTATTAAATGATAGCACTAAATTCATTTCATTTTCATCAGCCTAATTGTTAAAAATATCTATTATGCAGAAATCTTAGCCCCATTGATTCTTTACTGAGTAAAGCTATTATGCTCACTCCAATATACTTAGTAATCTGTTGCATTTTAATCCCTCCTTCGAGATAGTGAGTGTTGAATAAAATTGAAATCCCTTAATACATTATTCCAATCTACAATTCAAAAAAAATTTAAAGGAGTAAAAGGGTATCTGTTCTATGACTGGATCCACTTAAAAGAGGGTGTCTATCTAGTCCAGATCCCCAGAGTGACAAAAATTCAAAACGAGTTAACATTTCATTTTTGAATTACCCTCTTTTGTTTAGATTTTAAATTTCTGAACGACTTAAACTAATCTATATTCAACACTGTTTTGTTGAAGTAAAAGGGCAATGGTTATGTGTTAAAATTCACTTGGGAAAAGAACAAGGTCGACAAAGAAAATTTTTTTTTAAATAAAGGAGAATAATATTTGTTATAAGAACTACTTTTTAGACCTCTTTTCTTTGCCCTTGGAAGAATTTTAACTGAAAAGAAATATCAATTATACCTTTTTTGCTATTCTCTTGAGTTCTGTGACAGGATTAGCTGTCAGGAATCTTGGGGCCAACTTGAGCGTGAGGCTCCCAATGGAGAAAAGCAAGTCAAATTCAACCTCCTAAAGGTTCTCTGCTGCCCTGGCTGCCTAGGAGGCTGTCACACTGTTCTATGTCTTTTGAGGGCTAAGGGCCCAGCAATTTTTCCTCTGAATATGGCTCCTCTATGTCTGTGTCAGACTCTCAGGGTGTCACAGTGGTTTTTTTAGACTATGGGAAATCATTTGAGAATTATCAAATGTATTAGGATTATAAGTAATGATTTTATAATTTCCATTTTGCTCCAGCTGGGAATCAGAAAAAAATGATTTATATATTTTTGGCATTTTGAAAGAAATTTAACAAAGCATTAGTGCAGTATTCTTGCTGATCCCATTGTTTACAAGGTCACAAGCATGCCGGCTCCCAATTATTCAAGTCAGTGGGTAACTGTCAATGACCAGCGGGGACTTTCATTTTAACCAATTGTTACAATTTCCTCTTCCAACTCATCTAAAATGTCAGCAGCACTTCCTGAAAACATACTTGGACTATTTAGTTTTCTTTTATCTTTTATGCCTCCTTGTACAACTCCCAAATTGAAATTGCTCTTGTGTGAATCACCGATGATCATGTTATAAAAGCAAATGGATGCTTTTTGGTGATGTTATTTTGCTTAACCTCTTTTCATTCATTCATTTAATGAGTTATTGAGCATTTACTGCAATCAGACACTGGGGAAACAGAGGTGTAAAGATGTAGACCATATCTTTATGATATCTGTAATTTAGTTTGAAAGACAGACACTGAGCAATTATAGAGGTGTTAAATGTTAGAAAAAACGTGCCGTGGGAACATATAATGGAGAGCTACTCTAGCTTTGAAGTTAGAAAAGGTCTCTCAGTGGAAGCAATTTTTCGTTGTGTTCTGAGTTTAAGGGCTGATTTGTAAAGGGGAGATAAACAAGAAATTTTTTAACAGAGGGGAAGGCAATTTTTACTTCCTTATCATTCTTTCAGTTAACACCTACTCATCTACCAAAGTAGCATTAAATCTAGATAAATAACGAGGATTTAAAATTAGAGACAAAAAAGAATGAATGTATTCAACTGTATTAGGAACATGGATTTGGTGATTGCATGGATGTCGGTAGGGGAAAGGGTAAAATTAACGAAGTCTCTGAGTTTAGGCCACTAAGTAGGAGATGGCGTCCTTTATTAAGACTGGGAACACTGGAATAGCAGCAGGTTTGGGAAGAGCTCATGAATCCAGTATTGCATGTGTTGAACTTGAGGGGTTTGAGATAAACCAGTAAGAATGATAAGTAGGCAATTAAATGTATATTGTCCCAGAAAAGAGGCTGGAGGTATACACAGGTATCTTAAATTAAAAAACAAAAAACAAACAACAACAACAACAAAAACAAAACCCAAACTAAACTCATTATCACACACAGCAAAGTATGGTTCCAGTTCCCCAATATCCTTCTGATGATGGGTCTGACAACGATGCTATAAAACAGAAGACTGAGACACATTTACTCCTCTTATTTCATATTTTCTCATTTCTCACGTCTTTCCCATTACTATGTCCCTCCAATTCCACTTTTTAAATTTCCTCAGCCTCACCTTGTACCATTTCTCATTTTTCTGGATAATTCCAATAGCCTGCTGATTCAAGTTATTTTGTCAGTAACATCATTAAAATGAACATTTACATCACTGCCAGGGTAAGCTGTTTAAAGCAGAAAACATTTCTGTGTTTTCCCCTTTCTCTTCTTCCCAGTGTTAACTTCTAATAGGTCTTAAGATGTAATTTTACTAGTTGAGTTTT